CACGGAGCGTCCGGAGCCGCCGTCACCGGGCTCGTCACCCGCCAGCACTGCTGGAAGAGCGAGAGGGGCTTTGGGGCTACCCAGAGGAGGGAGAGGAGCCGCAATCCATGAGCCGGCCTCTTCCCTAGGGAAGGGGAAGGGAGGTCCCAAGGCACAAATTTAAACGGGACGAAAACGGCTGCTTGGAGAGAAGCGAATGGTGTAAAGTTATACGGAAACGGAGGAAGGAATTTTGAAGGAGCATCAAACCACCGTGTGGTCCAAATGCTCTGGGCATTCAACAGGGCGACGACCGATTCGGCCGGGCGCAGCCGCCCGACACGAGGCCGGCTCCGAAAGCGGCGCAGGATCGGGCAAGTTTCCCTATCGGAAACGAAAAGGGACGGCAGCTCCCGCTCCATATCCTCGTCCGACACCAAGGAGCTCCAGGGGACTTGCAATATCCCCTGGCTACTTAACACTGTTGTCCCAAAACCCTTTTTTTTCCTCCCCTCAAATGTATTTTCCTCCCCTCATTAATGTATTTACAAAACAGTCTGAAGCCTTTAACGCTAAGAATCCAGCTTTTTAGCAAAACTTCCAAGTTCACAAATGAAACCATGTACTTCCCTATGTAGCACGAGCAGCGGAGACAGGAGAGTCGGAGCTGCCAGTCAGAAGCATCTCGAGTCCCTGCAGCTGCTTCCAGCGCCGGTTCCGGAGAGCTGCAAGGACTCCCAAACCGCTCCCCTACGGAGCGTCGGATTTGGAAAGGAAAAACACAAGGAATAAAGGAATAAAACCCGCATCAGGCTTGGTGTCTAGAGGGCGGACAATTTACATGCAGGTGTCCCCCAGGACCCGCACTGCTGCTGCCGTGTTCACTTCCAAAGCGGGAAGCGCCTTCCGCTCCCGCGAGAATGCCGCTGCGCTCCACGGAACCGGCCCTGCAGCAGCTCAGCCTCACAAACCCCACGGATTAGGCAAAGCGACTTTAGAGGGAACGGAAGAGTTAAGGGGTTCCTCATCTCTTGGGAAACACCACATGGAATCACAACGGCCCATCCCGGCTCCGAACGCGGCATTCCCAAAGCTTTCCGCCTCCCTGTGCGGTTATTGAGCGGCCGCTTCCACCTCGTTTGCTCAGACCTCTCCGGGCAGTGACGATCCGGCCCCTTTGGCTGCACCGTCGCTGCCCAGCTCCGCCGCGGGCCCAAGAACAAGCAGGAAAGAGCCATGGAAAACTGCTCGGCGCCTGCGCTGCCGGGCACGGCCGGAGCGATTTCCCAGGCAGATCCCGGGAAAGGGCCCGGTGATGCTTCTAGTTACGTTTTAGAGTTAACCATTAAGGCTCTTGCTGCCGTGCTGAAAAATCAACCCCTCAGTAACGGTCAGAACTGACTTCCACTTCCAGAAAGACCTTTTCTTCCATTAAAAAGAGGTGCTTTACTGTCATTTCCCACTGTATCCTGTAGTCACGCCAAAGGGAGGAGGACACCTCCAAACAAGGCCCGATCCACATCCATCTCCTTCCGCTTGTGTTTCAAGCGCATCCCCCACTAAACACAGGTATGATACTGGTTTAAGATCCTTGCTTGAAGATCCCTAAGGGCCAATTCCAATAGTTGGCAGCTCCCATGAAGCTAAAAACGAGAGGAGCTAAAAAACACCACGAAGGTTCCCCACGGCAAAGACGCAAACGGCCCCGCGCCGATGCCGAAACGACGCGCGGCCGCTTCCCAAAGCTGCAGCCCTGAGTGCCCCCGGAGCGAGGATGCAGCTCGGGAACGCCGGTGCCAACCCGCATCCCGGCTTCCCATGGGAGCCGCCGCTTCCCGCTCCCGCCGTCGCGCACGGCACAAGGAGCGGGTGTTGGGAACTCCTAACTGCGCTAATAGCGCTCCTTAAAAACCCTTGGCACTCACCGTATTAATATTTAACTACATTGAATCATGCATTCATGTACAGTTTTATATAAATATGTCCTGTTTACGCTTCCTCTTGGAAGAGAAGCTCTCAGCAGCGTTCAGCTTCTCTTCCAAGGAACCGTCTCAAGGTCTGGAGAGAAGGAAGCCTGTCTGAACTGGGGGGAGAGGGAGGAAATAATTAATAACAACAAATCAAAAAGAAACACACCAGCAAGCACAGGATACCTCCCTGCACGTGATGCTAAGAGACTAAGAAAACTCCAAACTGTACAGTAATATTAACACACACAGACAATACGCTACGAATCCAGAATGCCTCACTGAAGGAAGTCCTGTAAACGCCGATTTACAAGTGCCATGAGAACTGCAGAACTCTCAGTATGCATAGAGTGGTATTTCAATTCCCTAAATATTTATTGTTACGGAGTCTAAAAGATGCTAGAACGTCACTTTGCTCCCAGTGCAATCCGGGTGAATCCATCAAGTTACACTGGAGCAAAGGAAGTTAAGAGTAAATGTTGCAGAGTCTATTTCTGGAAAGGAAATTATTGAGTATCACCTCATTTCTAAAGTTGACTTTTGAGCCACAAAAAGCCTCCTTTGCTCTGCAGCACTAGAATTTAAGCCCTTAAATCTTCCCTCGATGAGAGCAGATTGTCAAGAATCCTGACAAAGAGCAGCCACAGGGCTGTGGGATCCGCAGCAGCAGCACCACGTGTTTCTATTGCGACTGTTGTAGGCGAAGTTCAACTTGCATTGCAGTCTAGCAACTCTGTCCAAGTCAATAGGACAAGTACAGCCCTCAGGAGGAAGGAAGACAGATATGAGCATTCACAATAACGAGTTCATGCAATGGATTCATTGCAATCTTCTTTTCCCAATGGTTAAGAAGTCGTCAGATGTTTTATAAAAGTTAGTGTTGGGTTTCTCTAGGAAAATGTCTTGCATGTACCTGAAACAATGTCCGTTTCATCCAGCCAGGCAAAATGCAGCTCTCGAGTGTCCCTATGCTACCGGGGTCAGGTAAGAAGCTCCAGACACTGCGAAGCCCCTGCAAGACACCGACACGCGGGGACCCTGCGGCTCTGCCCGCGCCAGCGGCGAAGGAGAGAGCGTCTCCATCCCCGCTCCTCGCTTGATAGGAAAAAAGAGGAGAATTCTGGAAGCAGAGCCCCCCTCAGCTGATATCCTGCTACAACACTACGTTTACGGTGAAAAATAAACCTGTGTTTGCTGTCCATGCCTCTGGTCTCACCGCGCTGGCGTTTTCCTGGCATTGTGCAAGAGAAGCAAGGCGCAGACTGCCAGCTCAAAGCTTCACTGTGCCTTTGCATGCTCCTTCCAAAGAGCAAGTTACTTGGATTTGAAAACTACTTCGCTAATTTGATGTGTTTGTACAGTTCCTGTAAACGCGATGAGAACGCCCCGCGGCACGCGCACGGAGTGACCGTTTTCAGGGAATAACCTGAATACAACTTGGCATGTCCTCAAAGCTAGAAGGAGCTCATCCACGCTATGGATCAGTACATGAAATCAAACATGAGAGTTTTAAACCATAAAATCAAGTTTTAGCACAAATATCAAAGGTTCAAGCGGATAAATCAAAAAAGATATGATGAAGAAATTCAGCCCAGAGCAAATTGAATGTTCCCTTAAGGATGACAGTTCTTTGAGTGGAAACACAAAGCTTCATTCCAGCTGCACCACAGGGAATTCTCACATAAGCTGCCCTTTTCAAGCCAAAGAAGCGTTTCTCTGATATGAAAGTGTTAACTTCACACACTACCACTTAAGTTAATGCCCACGTGTACCGTTCGGGTAGAATCATGGCAAAAAAGAAACGACAGCTGGCAGGTTAAAAAAAAAAAGAAATTGCAATTGTATCAAACTTGATTGAATCTTAGCAGTACTTCCAGAAGATTAAAAAACTCAGGAATTGCTACAAGCCCTAGACATGCTGCCACGCCACACTTGGGAGCCAACCAAAACAAGCAGGAGGTTTCACCCTCCGGGAAGGCCAAGATGCCAGGAAGAGGACTCCAAGGAAACCCCCTCAGTCTGAAAGCATGGGCCAGCATGGAGGGACCGACAGATTCAAAGCTTTATTATTATTATTATTATTATTTTTAATAAAGTTAACAGTAAAACCAAATTCATAAGCCTTCCCCTCCGCGAGCTGGTTTCCTCTTCACACACAAAGCACACAAAACAGAGGTCTCCAACCGAGAAAATGAAACTGCTCTAAGTACAATGAGACATGATGAAGGAAGGAGGCTAAGTATGTCCATATTCAAGGTTAAAATAAGCAGATCAGGTATGTGGAGATTTTTTTTTTTTTTTTAGCCAAACTGGAAAAAGAAATTTCCTGGCCCAGAAGCTGAAAAAGAAAATGAAAAATATTAGCACTTTCAGAATTCTAATATACTACTATTAAATATAATTTTTAAATATCTTGATACCAATTAAGGAGTTATTTCAAACAAAACCACTTGGATAAATAGGTTAAGTGATCCACATACATTTCAAAGCTGATGGAAGGGCAATTCCACCTACCTTCAAAACTGAAGCCGCCCGGCCCACCAAAGAAGGCCTTGAAGATGTTATTTGCATCGAAATCTACAGGAGAGGAAAAAAAAGAAGTTGTGAGCTGAATTTAAACAGATACATTTTTGACAATTTAGACAATGTTGCTTAACTGAGAGCCCATAAAGCATTTTATGGATGGACAAAAAGTGTCCAAAGTGTCCAAAAAAGTGTCAAAGTGTCCAAAAAAGAGTTGAAGTCAGACTCTAAATGCTCTGATCTTTTTAAAGGCTCTGTTGGTAGGATGCTGCAGGGAATGCTCACCTCCCATGTTCAGCCCATCCTCTTCTAGATCCTGCCCGCTGTCGTAGCGAGCCTTCTTCTTGGGATCTGACAGGATGGTAAAGGCCTCACCAACCTCTTTAAATTTCTTCTCCTCTTCCTTTTGTACTTCTGCGCTTGCTCCACTGTGTCGGTCTGGGAATGTAACAGGAAAGCAGCTTTCAGTTTCTGGGGTAAATGGAAACATTGCAGGTTCCCAGCCACTGTGGGCTTGCATGGAGAGAGAGACAATTCTGAGCAGTATCTGAACCAGCAGGAAAAGACAATCAGGTAATTTGGTGCACCATGTATTTTAGAAATCTGGGGTCAAAAAGTGTCAACTACCCAGAAAATCCACTGCCCATTATTCCTGTTTCTGCATGGAGGTGGTGGTGGAATCAAAGCAATGATATAGGTTCCAAAAACAGACTGTTTCTGGGTACCTGGGTGATGCATTAGTGCTCTTTTCCTGTAAGCCTTCTTGATCTCATCTTCAGAGGCATTTTTGTCAACTCCAAGGATTTTATAGTAGTCTTTCCGTTTGCTCTTCTTCAGTTCTACCTGAGCATTCTTTAAAAGTTGCTTGTGTTCTGGAAAGGGCAATGGCAAGGGAAAGTGGCTTTAGTTTCAGGCAGAGCAACTTGCTCTAAAACACTAACTCATTGAGGCAACCTGGGATGAAATATTCAAATATTACAAATAAATAACTCCATTTAGTCAGATAGCTCATTAAAACCTACACACAAAAGGAGGAAGAGAGGGGGAAAAAAGACAGACGTATTTGTCTCTACTGAGGGAAAGCTTGTATGCACAAAAAGAGAATGTTAACATGCTTACCTTTTGTTTTTTCTGTCTGATAAACTTTTTCATAGTCTCTTACAGCATCTTCATACTGTTCTGTGTCCATATAACTGTGCAATGAAACACTGGTTACCAAGGTACACTTCACAGAAAATAACAAAAGGAGATTTAAGTACAGGCTATCTGGACAGCTATGACTTAAGGAAAACCTTTGCACTGGACTGCCGCCATGTGATACTAATTACTGATTACAGCAATTAATGCTGGGAAATAATCAGTACTGAGGACCCCTGTCTCCCTGTCAGCTAAGAAAGGGGAGCAAATTCAGGGCCTCTTAAGACAGAGCCTTTTACTTCAGTTAAGCTTCAAATTTGTTATCTGTAGGAACAGATAAAATTCATTCTGCAGGAATGAAGTTCCTACCCATAAACCTGCTCAGCATGTCCATAATAAAGGTCTACTTACCACTGTGCTCTCCTCAAGTATGCTTTGATATATGTTTCATCCAGTTTTACTGCATTTGTGCAGTCATCTATTGCTTCTTCAAGTTTCCTAAGCTACAATGACAGACAAGTTAAGCAAATCCCAAGCAGAGAATAAATTCTGATAAAATTATGCTTTTAGATAAATAAGAGTCCAGGATTTTTTTTTCCCCAATCCCCTAAAAATACAAAGTTCTTATTTTCTACAGAGAATATGATACATGTTGGTCCTACACTGGCAAGGGTGCCCAGGGTTTTAAAATTAGGTCAGATTATTTTAGACCAAAAAACCAAAGCAAGGCAGATGACCTACCAAAACAAAACAAAAACCACCCCACTCATCAAATCTCACCAGAAAGGAAATGAAAATGGACGCCTAGCTGCTGATTAAGATGGGGTGGAACTACATTCCTCCTCTCCCTCCCACTCTGTGCAGCCCGAGTACTTGACTCCTGGAGAAACAAAACTCAACTTCTTTGGCTGCTTGGAGCAGTGCCAATTGTTGTGCAAGTACAAAAACCTCAAGCATTGCCCACAGCACTAGAATCATCCAGCTGCTCCACACAACCAGGGAAGCTTTTGCTGGAATATCTGTGAATTACACGGTGGGAATAAGCCCCAAAACAAAATACCACCTTTCAGGTGACCATTCCTTACCTTTGAATTAACTGTCCCTCGGTTACAGTAGAGTTTGGCATTTGTTTTTATATTATTTGGATCTATTCCTAATGCCTCTGTGTATAGTTCATATGCTAGTTTGTAGTTTCCTTCTTTAAATGCTTTATTCCCATCTTCTTTTTTCGCTTTAAGTGCTTTGGCATTCTGAAAGTAAAAACATGTTGTAAGACATTAACTCGGGTGTTCGGGGAATGCCCAGCACCTTGTTTTGCTGGGCTAAGCTGCTTGAACACAACTGTTCTCACTTGCTTTCAGACACCACCACTACAGGCTACCAAAGCTGCAGCCTGGCTACAGCCCCTGAAAGGAGATGCCAGCATCTCTCCTCACAAAGACAAGGAGCCAGGAACTGCCAACACCAAGCAGAGGCGCTTTAAGGTTTCAGATGAGAACATAACAGTGAAGTAAACTCATGCATTCTGAGGAAAAAATAATAGAAACTTCATGTTTTTCAGAGCTTATGCAACTAAAAGTCAGGAAAGGCTGAGGGAGCTGGGCCTATTCAGCCTGAAGAGAAGGCTGAGAGGGGACCTGAGCAGTGCCTGTACATACCTCAAGGGAGGCAGTGAGGAGGATGGTGACAAGGACAAGGGTGGAGGATAGGACAAGAGGAAATGGCCACAAACTGAGGCACCAAAAGTTCCACAGGAACTTAAGGAAAAATTTATTGACAATGGGGGTGCCAGAGCACTGGAACAGGCTGCCCAGAGAGGTTGTGGAGTCTCCTTCTTGGAGATCTTCCAAACTTGCCTGGGTGTGACCCTGTGCCACGTGCTCTAGGTGACCCTGTGTGTGCAGGGGGTGGCACTAGATGATCTCTAGAGGTCCCTTCCAACCTTAACGATGCCATGAAAAGACTCCCGAGAGTTTGGCAGCCCCCGTGCCCATGCCCACAGCTTACACGACAGGCAAGACACGCTTTCTCGTGGTCAGGGGCCATCCTGAGTGCCTGCACGAAGAACTGCACTGCCTTCTCAATACAGTCCTCATAATAAAGGCAGAGGCCACGGACGTACAGAGCGTCTGCATTTGTTGAGTCCATTCGTAGTATGTCACTGCAACAGACATAGATATATTACAAAAATAACAACAAACGAATAAGCATCCCTCCACAAACCCCCATGTTTCTTTCTGAGCCCCAAAAGAACTCTTCTTTTGCAGAGCTGTTTAGCTATTTTATCCTGTCAGTGGTACAGACACACAAATACATAGGTCTTTGCTCAAGCAGGACTTATGGCAAGTAACTGGGCCTAAGTACAGTTTCCTAGTGAGATAAACTGAAGGGGGATAAACTCGTGCACTCTCTCTCTCACCCAAATTTGCATTAAGGACTGTTTCTGTTTTACACACCCTCATCCAGGGACTTTCAAGGTAAAAAGCAAATCGCTTTGCAGAGACGGGGTGGGGGAATTCCACAGCACTCTACACCACTTATGACTCCAATTCCAGCTCACCTTGCTACGGACTGTGCTTCTGGGTAGCGGCCCAGCAACGCTAAACATTCAGCCTTCAGGATTTTGAACCGGTGACAAGCGGGAGCAAACTCCAAAGCACGATCCATGCAAAAGACAACCTGATGGGAGAAAAACACACCATCACCAACAAAGCAAACAGCCAAAGGCCTGGCTTGAAAGACTGCACCCCTACCACACTCGAGAATTCATATTTCTCTTTGAACAGCAAGATACATATAGAAACACCTGTTTCCTCTGCAGCTGGAAACACTTGTTTCATCGGAAAATTCTCGTATTTTTTTTCCCCCCCAAAGTGCATTCGTTAATAAGTTCTGCAGTACCTGTTGTTTGGATATCATCAAAAGCACTACACATAGTTGGGAATCACACGGAAGACTCAAGGGATACCCAGAGAAGGTTCATCCCTTTAACCCTTCTGAAACCCTAGAGAAAAGCCAGGGAAGACAAATCTGCCTCTATTTCCTGCATTAGCAAGACATGGGGGAGAGACAGAAATTCAACACGTTGAGACGATTTGGAAAAAGCACAAAAAACAAATTTCTGTGCAGGGGCTGATCTTGCACTGCTCCGACTGCTATGGGCAGGGTGATCTAATAGGTCTTTCCAGCTCGATTCTCTGGTGGGGACATCTGCACGAGAAGGGGGTCATTGTTCCTGCGAGGTTCATCTGCCTCCCGGCCGTGACATCACGCGGGCTCTGTGGGCAGCTCTGTGCTCAGCCCGGGAGCCCACGGCAGGGAGCAGGAGCAGCTCTCCAGAAACAAAGATCACCTTTTGTGCCAGGCTCCCCAGGCAAGCGCCAGGGCACAAGCGAGAGGACAGATGCAGAAGCCCAGAACATGCAACACTGCCCATGCATCCCAGCTGCTCCTCACGAGCAGGAGAGGCAAAGATGGGATTTACCGCTGAAAGGGGGTAATTTTGGTTTTAACCCTAGAAGATAGCAATACACTGAGCTTCTGGCCCAAACTTGGGCCGTATATGTAATCACTGGATGAAACGGATGCACGAGAAGTGTTTGGGGGCCCCCAGATTTCGTGTGGCAGGGCAATGCCAGCTGCATCCTGCCACAACCCTCAGAAAGGAAAATTTAGAAACAGAAACGGAGTTTGCGCCAAGTAGATCTGCAATCCTCCTTCAACAGCCTGCACTGTAAGAGCTTTTTTGAGAAAGAGAGAGAGAGAAGAAAAAGAAAAATCCTTGGTATGCGTTTGAGGAGCAAAGCACAAAAACGCTGCTGCTAACACAACACCTTAATTCATGGTTCCACTCACTCTGCAGAGCAGAGTGAGAGGAGGATTGGCTTGAGCCTCTCACCCTCTCACTCTGCACTTGGCCAGTGCCAGGAGAACAGGAGCTCTGCCATGTTCTCCGATGTTACAGTTCACAAGACAACCCTGCTCCTATGGCAAGAGGACGTTGAACAGCATCTTCCATGAGGGCACAGCTGACTAATGCTAGGCAGGGGGGTGAGATCTGCATGTGGTTGATCTAACTGGGTAAAATAGGCCACAAAAACAATCAAATAAGTGTTACCTTCCTGAAATCTCGTTTCTCAAAATCCACTTCAGCTATTTTTTCATACTCGAGGACAGTACTGGCATTTTTGAGCTGAAAGACAGGAAAACACAGCACATGTTGCAGGAGTGCCAGTGATCTGCACCTTCAAATAGCACTTAAGTTTGCAAATGTCAAAGCAAAAACCACCAGCAGGCATGGAACTATACAGATTACCTTGCTGCTTTCTGCAGGACTAAAAGCAGTTTGAAATCAAGTAATCCAGTGGGTTACAGGCACAGAGACACCGTATCATTTTTTTCCACTATACCAGGGCATACCAACTGTCACTACTGAGCCTGAAGGAGATTCCACCTTGCAAAAGGCTTACCAGCTCAATCCATTCTGGCAGTCCCATCTACTGGGAATATTTCGGTTTCGAAACCTCCTTACCTCTTGCTGCGCCTGAGTATTCTTGTGATCCAGTTCTAAGACTCGTTGAAAGCAGCGGCTGGCAGCCATGGCATTCCCTAGGGACAGATGGCACTTCCCTTCCCGTAGGTGGCCCTGAAAAGAGAGTCCAAGGCAACTGCAGAAGCAGCAATGGATGGAGACGGGGGTTGAGAGCCCAGGAACGGGTCGGGACGTGGTGTGAAGGGGTGTGCACGTACCCTTACAAAGGTGTCGTCCAGCCTGACGGACTGCTGGGCATCGGCCAGCGCTTCGCGGAACCGTCCCAGCATCATGAGGGTGGCAGCTCTGTTCCCGTAGTAGCTGGCGTTGTTGGGACAGGTATCTAGGGGACACACAGTGGTGCTCACCGTTAGTGCAACGCAGGCAGCTCGCAGGCACCTTGGAAAAGCCGCTGGCGGAATCCAGATCCCATTCCCTCTGGATTTATAACCTATCGCTCCAGTGGCTTAAGCTGATCATGATGGTCAGATAACATCTGCCCTACGAGGAGAGGCTGAGGGAGCTGGGCCTGTTCAGCTGGAGAAGAGAAGGCTGAGAGGGGATCTAATCAGTGTATGTAAGTGCCTCAAGGGAGGCAGTGAGGAGGATGGTGCTGGCCTCTTTTCACTGGTGGCCACTGATAGGACTAGAGGAAATGGCCACAAACTGAAGCACCAGAAATTCCACAGGAACTTGAGGAAAAATTTCTTAACAGTGAGGGTGCCAGAGCACTGGAACAGGCTGCCCAGAGAGGTTGTGGAGTCTCCTTCTCTGGAGATCTTCAATCCCGCTTGGATGCAGCCCTGTGCCCCGTGCTCTAGGTGACCCTGCGTGTGCAGGGGGTTGGACTAGATGATCCCTAGAGGTCCCTTCCAACCTTAAGCATTCTGTGATTTTATGGTCAAGAGCTGTTTGGAGCAGCTTAGAAGAGCTGACCACAAAGCCCTCGTTTCTCAGTGCGCGCCCGGGAATTCACACAGAGCAGCACTTTGTGGGGCTCAGCCCGGCAGCGCTGCCGACCCTGCAGCACAGGGAATTGCTGGACTCGCTTCCCGTTAGGAATATTCTGGCTAGAGCAGCCGCAGAAAGACTGCTGCAACCACCCACATCAGCACTAGCTTTCATCACTCATCGGGCAAAACTTGACAGGTAATTAAACAGGCAGAAGTTTTTACCCAGCACGGGCTGCTGGAAATCCTGCTGGTGTATTTCAGATTGATAAACTTTTGATTTTTAGATATGATATTCGTCAAGATTAACAGAATCAGCAACTGTCCTCACCTATGGCTTTTGTGTAATAGTTGTACGCTTCGTTATAGTCTTTCTTGGCATAGTAGGCGTTTCCTTGTTCCTTGAAGGATTCCGCTTCTCTGAAAGGCAGGAGAGCAACAGGAGTTAAGACGAGCACATTGTGAGATCCCAAATGGCCCCCATGAAACACGGGATCCCCTGGAGACCTCGGTGTAACTGCTCAGCTGCTCCCATAGACGTCGCCCCTGGGAAACGCTCACGTTGGGACCTGCCACCGTTCAGACACTGTCCCCCTTGGCCAGGGCCACGGACAGGGGGTTCTGCCAGGACACGACTTTGCTGAGCGCTACATGAGCACCGCAGCAAACTAAACCCACCTCTGCACATCCATCCTTCAACGGGAGCCTCCGGAGCGGGCAGGACTCACGTTACACCTGGTTAATCAAAGCAGCCTCATCCAAGCACTGCACAACCCGGCACTCATGGAAATCGAGAGAAAAAAAATGAAAAACGCTGCCTACTGTTCAGAAATAGTCTCACCTACGCAAGAAACGGGGCCAGGAACAATTTCTGCGCTCCAAAGACAGCGAAGCTGCGGAGCAATAAGGGTGCAAGCCTCAAGCAGGAGCTTGGCACTGCCTTGGCAACAGGTCCAGAAATAGTCCTCGCTCTCAAGAGCAAGGATTTGCAGAGGCAGTTTAAAAACACACAACATATGGTTTGGAGCAGCATCCCTTAACTCTCGGGAGCAAACTTTCCCCTCAAGAAAATGCAACCCTTCTCTATCTTCTTGCGTCCACCTTCGCTGCTTCATATAAGCAGCCCAAGAGGGAACTGTTCTCGGTGCTATGCTTTGGTCACAGTTAAGCCTTTGCACTCTACGTTTTAAGGAAAGTTTAGTCTGCAATGAATTCACCATTTGCCAGGCAGAACCACAGGACAACTGGAATAAACGTTAACAGGAGGCAGTTGACTGTCTTTAGGAAAAGCTGGAGCTACAACCGAGGAGAGGAGCGGGGCTCTCTCCGTAGGATGCGAACTCACGACGTCTGATTTTATTCTGCACAATAAAACTGTCAGCAAGACTGATGAGCCCTGCATTTTAGCAAGCTGCCAGATCAGAGAGCTCAGGGTGCAGGGTCGATTTTGCAAGAGCCGCGGATATTCAGCGTTTGCATCTTGCTAGTACCCAGAAACGAGGGCAAACTTTACTAGTCCCTCCACCTAGAAAGCCTTCTAGCCAAAGAGCCAAAGCTGAAAAATGCCTTTTAACACCAAAACCGACCGCTCTGTGGCTTGTGGAAGCCTGTGGGAACGCAGCGGGCGCGCTGCAGCCAGGGCAGCGGCGCGGGCGAGCGGGGCCGCGCTCAATGGGCGCAATGTTCGGCAAACCCCCCGCACGGCGAACAAAGGCGACTGTGTTGGAACAAGTTCACATGTTTTTCGCCCTCCTCGGCCTCGCCATGGGCCGTTCCCCCGCAGCTGCCTCCCGCACGGGGTTGTTTTCACAGAAAGGGCCCCGTTTTGCCAGCTGGCAAAACAATAGACACAGGGCGCTGCGGTCGCCCTCCGCTCGCGCCGCTGCTCTTTGCTGCCACTTACGCTCTGACAAGGGCCCGGGCACGTTCGTAGAAACAGGACGACCAAGAAACTCTTGGAAAGGAGGAGCCGGCGCCCGGTTTTCCGCTGCCCCGAGGACCCTGCGATTGCGGCTGCGATGGCTGGAATGGTGGGAAGCGGAGCCGGGCACCGCTGCTTCCGAGTGTTACTGCTCAAACACGCAAAATACAGTGGAAAACAAGCAAAAAAGAAGGTGCCTACAATGCCAGAACCAAGGGACTATGTAGTTCAACCAGAACTTTGTTCTGGTTAACTACACTTCACTTGTAATAATTATGGAAGTTTCACTTGTTTCCATAATTATAAACTGAAAAAAAAATCAATTTTATTCACGTATCTGCTCTCAAAAGGTCTTTTTATGTGACCTAAAGAAAGTGCTGAACGGGATTAACGGCAGAACTCTCCTCTCCGGGCCCCCCTGCGACCTGCTCACGGACCAGCCCGGGATTCCCGAGTCTTTCAGGAATTTCACCTGCCACGTCAGAGGGGAGCAGCGCCCACATCCCCTGTGCCAAGCACCTGCTGCAAAGAGCTGGGAAAATGGAAGAAACGCGTTTAGATGGCAACACAACTTCCCCAAAGCACCAGAATCTTCATTAGGAGACCCCAGAGATGTGAACACAAGAATCAAGTTTTCCACCTTCTGTCTAATTTCCTTTTAAGCATTTATTTTAATACAGACCGATGTATCAGGTTGCAGTAACTCAGAAAACACTCACGGAAAGGAAATACTCATACATATTTCTACTGTTCACATGGCTTAGGGCTGAATGAAGAAAAAAAATCATGCAAAAAAAAGAATATAGTTGCCTTGAAAGCACAAAGGCAGGGATGGCTGCTGGAAATGCAAGATTTGTGACGCGAGGTGCCAGAACAGAAGCATCTCTGCCCAGTTGTGTTCCACTGGCACAGAAAGCACACGGAGAAAGCGGCTCTTGTTTACCACGGGCTCTGGCTATGACAAGGAAAAATGCAGATCTCCTGATATCACTGGTAATTGTTTCAAAGCAAACAGATGCTGCAGCCTGAATGAGATCATTCTGCATCTTGCACTGATGTAGGCTGCATTCCCCACTTGCTACTTTTGAAACTGAAGAAGAATCACGCTTTGCTAAAAATACAACGCAAGCTGAACGGATTCCTTTGTTAGGAGAGGCTAGTGGCTTTTTAGGGCCTCTCCACAGTGACTCCAGAGGATAAAGACGACAGTTGCATCAAGAATCTGGGGAAGAAGCCTGGCTTTCACTGCCCGTGTGCATCCACGGCTCTCAAGGAGGGAATTGCTTGGAATATCTCTCTTCCTGCAAGCTAGGCAGGATTTTCTTCCTTTTATAATGTCTGCCAAGACCCCTTATTTGAATTCCCAGGCTCCTGAGGTCCCTGTCACAGGATGGGACAAAGGTGGATGTTGCTGGTGCTCCTGCTTGCACCCAGGAACATGGTCCATCATGGGGGCTGCCAGGCGGACCAGGAAACCATCCCTTGGCCCGAGCCCCTTCCCGGCCATCCCGCGCGCCGGGATCCCATCCCGGCCGGCAGCCTCCGCCGCCAGCTCGGGATGAGACGGAGGAAGAGGGACCTCGCAGCGACGCCCGGCCGGGAATGCCGGGATCGGTGCAAACAGCATCTCCCAGGGCTGACCCTGCTCCAACACTCCCCATCCGGACACAGACACCGGCCCCAAGACCCATGTGTAGATGCCCCAGCAATCTCTTCTGCGCTGAGCAGAGGAGACACATCTGTCCTTCCTAACTCCTCCTTGCAGATATTTTTTTATTCTTTAATAGGATGTGGTGCTTTTCCTGCCCCCCGCCCTGCAGTTTTCTTGCTCAAATTCCACCCAGATCTCAGCTGTCAGATGCAACTCAGCTGTTTGGGTAAAATAAGTTTGGTGATCTCAGTACAGTTCACAGCAGGCAGATGTCTAGAGCTTAAAATTAGCCGTCCTGTTTGCCACTGGACATACTATACCCTCCCTCCTTGTTTTTTCAGGGCTCAGAAGAGAAACCAAATACTGAATGGGCCACAGAGATTGATCTTCCCTGACTGCTTCAGAGATCCTTGCCCCAGGTTGGGATTTACACGCGGATTTTAACCGTGGATTTGGAGCAAGGGGAAGGAACATCCCGCCAGCAGGGATGGTGCTTCTGTCTCCAGGACATGGAGGAAGGGCACAGCTGCAAAAACAGGCCCTGCAAACGAGACGCAAAGCCATAAATAAAGCGCGCTGCGATTTTCCCTCCCGCGTCACGTTGCGCTGTGCACCAGCACCCCCCGCTGCACAGCGGCGGCTGCGCCGGCCGCGCGGTGCCCGTGCAGAGCGTGTCCCCACGCGAGGGGACCCGGGGCCTGCACACAGCGGCCCGGCCACATGGGACAGTCGCCCGCGGGGACATCGGGCCACAAGGGCTGCTTGGGGACGTGCAGCATCTTGCAAGAGGCGGCAGCGACGCGAGGGGGACGGAGCGCTGCAACAGGCTGCCCGGAGAGGGCAGTCTCCTTTGGAAACCTTCAATTCCCACCGGGATGCCACCCTGTGCTCCAGTGTCCCTGCTGGATTAGGGGACTGGACTAGATCTGCAGAGGTCCCTGCCAACCTCAACCACCCCGGGATTCTGCGCGATGTTAACGGAGGCGGCGCACAAAAAATCCCGACCCTCCTCCACACGCACAACATCCCCGAGCTCAAATAGCAAAGAGCAGAAGCCACAAGAAGGGAGCAGAGGAGATCAAAGCAGCCGAGCAACACTACTGCCTGCAGCTGCAAGCAAGAGCAGCCCGATGAGAGCTGAGGTTTAATTACACAGTTATGTAACGCACCTTGCTGGCAGGGAGCAGGATTAACCTACTTCATAGTAATGACTTAATCATTTCAGGCACGGTGAAATTGTAGCATTCATAAAAAAAAAAACACAGAAGGGCCTAGAACCTGCTAGAGTCTGATTTTATCAGGAAGACCCAAACCAAGGAAGGAAGCAGCTGCAGGAACTGCATGGTGGGACAACTGCCTCTGCAACATGCTTCACCTGAAACAGAATGGTTTATGCTCCAAGTCCTGAGCATTATTTATATCATACACAGCGACTGCCTAATTTGGAGTATTCAAATACCCTGCAAATACACGGGAGAGTTCACATCTATTATCATAATATCATCAAGTAATTTCAGATTAGTAAAACAGACTCTATTTACAGCCTGGGAAATTCAAGTGCCCATTTACAAGCAGAGCAGGAGCAGTGGAAGCTCCTCCAGCCTAAGCCATGGGCGAAGCTCAGCCACGACCAGGCTCTCAGGGCCAGTGCAACCCTGTAATTCTGTCAGCACTCAATAAAAGCAGGCGGGTAATGACATTATTCACGAGGAGCTCAACTGAGGAGCAACTCAATTTATGCAAACAAGCAGCAGAAAGATTCCTGCCAATTATCCACACCTGACAACTTCAGGCAACGGCTGTTGAACTCAGGAGTGACCCTGCAGTTAGGTAAGGTCTAAAACACTATTTTTGACTCTGCAATTTGCTCTGGTGGCAACATTCACATTCACCATTTCGCTGCAGTAATCATGATTTCCTACCTGGCCCACAACTCTCCTGAGCTCTATAGCAAAAGGAACAGTCTGAGCAGATTATTTCATAACAACATTTTCCAAATGACTGGAAATATCTCTTTTTAAGAGGCTTGCACATCCTCCAACACTGAAGGATGGGGAGAAAGATCCAGTCTTAAACATGCACAGACAGAATCTAGAGCTGCCAGGAAGATGACAGGCAAATTATCCCTGGCAAAACTCCAGTGACCCCAAGCTCCAGAGCAGCAGGGCCAAGGAAAACCCGCGAAGGAGCCGTTCTGCATCGTCCCAGCTGCTCCAGAGCAGCTACCATCCCTCTGGAATGGATTTGCACCTCTGCTGATTTCCACCTTCTTATTAAGCCACACAGATGAGCGCCGGATATCTAAGCACATGGAAACCCGTGACCACGACTTGTAGCAATGA